ATTCTGTAGGAACAGAGTAGATTGTGCGGATGACTGAGTTGGTGGAGGGCACCACTAGTAGTAGGTCCTACTTCTTTACTTTTCCTCTTATCTTTCTATAATGACTGTACCTTTTCCTGGTCTAAATGGCCGTCAGTATGTGTTGACGTGCTTCTCTTTACTCACTCAAACAAACAAGAGTTGATTGTAGTTGTAGTGACGTGCTTCTCTTTACTCACTCAAACAAACAAGAGTTGATTGTAGTTGTAGTGACGTGTTTCTCTTTACTCAAACAAACAAGAGCTTATTGTAGCGGGGGTACTTTTGACCCCAGGGTGTATACTGTCCCCGTAGGATTATGCGATTGTACGGGCGCGTTTTTTTCGCGTAATTCTGCAACATTCGCGTAATTTTGGATTATCCGCGTTTTTCCCCGTTTTTTCCACAAAACTATTAATTAACGCCTCACCATGTAACTAAAGGGACGTAATCACCGTAATAACTCTCATTTAAGTGAAAATTTGGTTATTTCCCTTGTTACAAGATCTTGGTTAAATGGGTTGTGATTTTGTTCCTTGAGCATGTTCTATTTTTCAATCGATCCAAAGTTGTTGTTCTCAAGTCTGCTGATGTTTCATATTTGATAAGGGTTCTTGGTTTTAGTAATGCGCCAGCATCAGAGGTCCAGAGGTTCTTTTAAAAATATTTTTTTAAACATGTTTCTTTCCTCAATAGATCTAGATCTAGATCTACAGCTGAAAGTTACAAAGATTATTATTTTTGGTAGGTTTTTTTTTTTTTTACTGATGTGTATTGTTTTCTTTTCCAAATATACAACAAATTACTGATATTGATATGTTCTGTTTTCAATTTTTCTGTACATAAAACATGAAAACCATGAAACTTCGTGTTGAAAAAGTGCAAAACATGTCGCGAATGGTGTTACGGTTACTTGCATAATTTTTGCATAATCTGCTTTTTTGTGCATAATTTGGCCATCTAAATTTGCATAATTCTACGGGGACAGTGTACAGTAGTAGAGCAGATGTTAGTTCCAGGACAGACGAACAGTTTGTACACCTTAGGATGGTTAGTCTTCTTCTTCTTCTCGATCGAATCACACTTGAAGTCTGGTATCTGTCATAAATTGGGCCATCCTGCTCAGTTCATCTGTCGGCCCGTATAGCTTCTCTTCTAGCGTCAGTGGGGTTGGCCACGTTTCCTGTCTCAGGGCCCTGTGCGTCTTGCAGTGCTGAAGGATGTGTTCAACAGTTTGGTTCGCGTCTGCCTCTCCACACTGGCATTTTGGTGATTGTACTAGTTTAAAACATTTATACATATGTTGTCTCAGTCTTGTGTAGTTGTGTCCTTAGTCTGAAGATAATCACTTGTTCTTGGCGGGACAGCTCATGGTAGCCATCTGGTGTCTGATGTGCTTTAAATAGTGTATTTATAATAGTTTTTTATTTTGTGTAGTTAACGCTGTTGTCTGGTTGCTCTTTCTGTGCTCCTAGTTTGGCCATCCTGTCTGCCTGCTCATTTCCTAAGACACCACAGTGTGATGGAATCCACTGCAGCATTATCCTCAGACATGGGATGACTTCAATTACTTTTCGTAGCCTCGATAGTTTGCCGGAAGTGATTGCCTGCAGTACTGACATGGCATCTGTTAGGAATACTACTTGGCTTTGGGGGTCTACCATTTTCTTGATGATGTTTGCTGCATGTATTAGAGCCTCTGTCTCTGCCCTTGGATGGTTAGTGGGTCTCCTTCTTTCCTATTAAAGTTTTTAAACATATTTTATGGTTGCTACTCTCTTGTAAAACCTTTATGGGTGGCTGGTTGGCGTGTGCTGTGGTGTGGTTTGCTTCTTCTTTCCTATAAAAACATCTATCGTCCTTATCTCCCCTTCTTCTTTTTTTATGTTTGTTACTCTCTTGTAGGGTGTGGCGGCGGAGCGGTTAGTGCGCTTGTCTCCGAAGCAGAAAGTCCGGGTTCGAGCCTCAGTTCGGACACGCATATTTTTCGCCCCCTCCTGCCCACCCAGCAATAATTGGGTACCTGACTTAGACTTAGAGGGGGCATGGAAAGGAACTGGCCACCCTGCAAAAATATGCCGAAGGCCCAGAAAGTTGTTTCACTAACAGGGCAATCCCCAATATCCGGATCGGATGCTGGAACAACTTTACTTTTACTCTCTTGTAACACCTCTAATCTTCTGGCCCTCATATGACCTTATGCAGTTGCGAGCACCGTAAAACCCCTACTAAATCTTTAAAAAACCTCTATGGCACTTATAAATTATATGTTGCAAGTGCCATAAATATTACTGTAAACAAAACAAAATAAATGTTAGTACTCCAAGTTTGTCTCATACCAAACTTCCTTTATAAATCTGTCCCCGTGGTTTTATGCACCCCGCCTAATTTAGCAAAATTGGATCATTTTTTGCATTATTTCTTATTATTTTCCTTTGTCTTTCTTTGTTAAAATTAACAGAATCGCATAATTTCACATTTTTGGGCTCAGTTTGCATACGTGTAGTTTCAGAATTTTTCTTGCATAAAACGACAGGGACAGTTTTAAAGGTTACCACCACACTTGTCTAGGGTGCTGATTCTCTGGATGGGGATAAAAGGGATTTAATCTGTTCGATATTACATAATGCTTTTGTAACGTACGGTTACGATTGGTCAGTGAGGGACATCAACACCTGTCAATGTTGTCACCAGGCACTGCTTCTCAGACGCTTGAACTGTGTGTAAAAATGTACTTAAAGCCACGCTCTTTTTAATCTCCGTCTAAGTAGCCTACGTGTAAGTTTTCAAAATGGAACATAATATATAGAATTAGGAGTCTTTTGCCTCTTTGGTAACTTAGCTGTGCTGAAATTCGTATCGGAGTGAGTAAAGATTATGCAAAATATAAACGCAAAAACTTACTAACTGTCTTGTAGATTTAAACACATCCTCACCAGACAGAAATAACAGAGGAACATGACTGGTGGAAAACCCTCTGTGATACTCTACACATATTTATAGAGAAAGCAAACAAAACAAAAGATTAAAACAAACAAAAAACAACAAACTCATGTAGAGTAACATTTTGCTCGTTTTAATTTTCAAAGCAAAAACTTATAAAAAAATTAACAAGATTTCAGATGGGAATTTCCAGTATTAAGTACATCATTGTGGCCTCATTTGGTACTCATAAATATTGCCGTGAGCCTGTGTGTGTTCGTGCTCACTCAGTCCAAGTGGATGGACCCTGGGTCACCAAACGAAGCCCTAAAGTCTGTTTATCAATGACTTGAATGACTTTCTCTCCGCACATCATGAGGGTGTGTGTGAATTTTCTTGCAGGATTTTTTTGGTGGTTTATTTGTCTTTATGGGAGGGAGTACATGTCGGCCCCAAGACTATCGAGCGAAAGCTTGAGGTGAAGGCACATTGAAGTTTGCCCGTGACTTTAGTCCTTTACACCTCCACACACATCGTGGGTGCATGTCACTTGGAGGTCATGGCCGCCGAGCATAGCCCTTAAGACACAGCAGATCACCGATGACCTCGTCATCTTCTCCAGAGGCATCTATGAGATTAACCTGCCGAAGACAAAGAAGTAAGACATGAAAAAAAATAATTCTAATTTTAAAAAAATAATTTTGGTCACTTTTAATTCTGAGGAAAAACAACCTCACAAAATTCCATACTTTGGTTCCTCCAGGCAAACTCAACACTCTCTAAATTTATATTTCGGGGGG